CCGGCACCTGCATCTCCTGGTTCTTCGTCTGCGACGGGCGCAAAGACTGCCCCGACGGCTCCGATGAGGCCTGTCGCGGGCCCCAGTGCCCCCCCGAAGCCTTCAAGTGCAAAACCAAGTGTATTTCGCGGGCCGGCCGCTGCGACGGAGTCAAGGATTGTGTGGAGGGCGAAGACGAGGAGGATTGCCAAGCCACCAGGAAGCGGCGGTGTCCTCCGAACACGTTTCAGTGTGGGGACGGGAAGTGTCTCCCCGAGTACGAGTTTTGCAACGCTATTATTGGGTGTAGTGATGGGAGCGACGAACCGGCGCATATCTGCAGAGGACGCGCCAGGAGAAGACTCTCGGAGTATTGTCCTCTGCGATGCGGAAACGGAAGATGCAGGTCGAGTGCCATCGCGTGCTCCGGGAGAGATGGCTGTGGTGATGGCACGGATGAGAGGAATTGTGCGGTTTGTAGTAAGTTGAGACCTGGGGGCAGAGGCGGATCCAGGAATTAATTTTGGGGGTGGGGCTATCTAAAAAAATTTTAAATGATGAGGGTAGACAATGAGCGGCAAAATTATAGAATAATCTTATTTATTAAAACTGAAAATATTTTGTTTTGGAAAAATGCTCGAACAGGTCAATTTTCTTTTTAAAAAATACGAAATTTTTAACTTGATTTAAAATTAGTCCGGTCAAAATAAACATTTTAAATAACTAAAATTCCGACAGAGCTAAATTTTGGTGGAGATATTGAGTACACCATTAGGAATAAAGTGTCAAAAGTCCCCATCGATCCCATGTGCGCTAAAAAAGTTATTCGGGGTCAAAGGTCGAAATTTGAAGTTTTTTAGATTTTTTTCGAAAACGGTAAGTTTTATCAAAAAAGTAGCCCAGACAAAAAATATAGATCTTGAAATTATCTACAAAATGGTCCTTATACTTTTTTTCTAACAATCACCATTCCTGAGATATCGCGATTCTAAAAATTGAAGGAGTCACGTTCTACATGGTATGCACATACAGAGTGCGTCAGAACTCCCGCTTCAAAGACAAATGCCATGTAGGGTAAGGTACCACAAACATAGAAAAAATTWAAAAAAAAATCTATCTATAAAAGTTTCAAAGTTATGAGAGTTTAAATTTTGCACTTTGACTCTATTTATTTCTGTAGGGAAAATAATTTTCCAAGTTTTTTTGCTATAGGCCATTAGAAGAAGAAACAAAAAAGCTGTGTCCTAAATTGTAACTCTGTTCAATGTTATTTGTGGCTTTTATTGGCAAAACTTTTGTACCTTTACTAGATAATTGTTAAAAAACATATACAAAATCATCAGTATTATTAAATAGACATAAAAAATAGTCAAATGTCAAAAAACAAATGTCAAATTTTTTTGACAGATAAAATTTTTTAAACATTTTTTTTATGTTCCTGGTATCTTATTTTACTTGAAATTTTTCTTCTACTTCATTAAACTTATAAATATCTCGATTCCATTAGAATTAAAAAGAATTTATTTGACTATTTTTTACATACAGGTTGTTCAAAAAATCGCGCATTTCCTTGAAAGGGAGTAATTGGGTAGTCCCCAGAGTACTGAAAAAATGTTTAAAAAATTCTATCTGTCAAAAAATTTTGACATTTATTTTTTGACATTTGTCATTTTTTTATGTCTATTTAATAATACTGAAGACCTTGTATATGTTTTTTTATAAATATTTGATAAAGGTACAAAAATTTTGTCAATAAAAGCTACAAATAATATTAAACAGAGTTACAACTTAGGATACAGCTTCTTTGTTTCCTTTTCTAATAACCTGTAGCAAAAAAACTTGAAAAATTATTTTTCCAACAGAAATAGAGTCAAAGTGCAAAATTTAAACTCTCATAACTTCGAAATTTTTATAGATAGAATTTTTTTAATTTTTTTTTATGTTCCTGGTACCTTACCCTACATGGCATTTGTCTTTGGGGCGCGAGTTCTGGCGCACTCTGTATGTGCATATGATGTAGAACGTTACTCCTTCAACTTTTAAAATCGCGATATCTCAGGAATGGTGATTCTTGGAAAAAAAGTATAAAGACCATTTTGTAGATAATTTTAAGATCTATAATTTTCGTCTGAGCTACTTTTTTGATAAAACTTGCCGTTTTCGAAAAAAATCTAAAAAACGTCAAATATTGACCTTTGACCCCGAATAACTTTTTTAGCACACATGGGATCGATGGGGACTTTTGACACTTTATTTCTAATGGTATACCCAAGGTCTCCACCAAAATTTAGCTCTGTCGGAATTTTCGTTAATTGACCACTATTTTTATGACTAATTTGACCGGACTAAATTGTATCTTTGTTTTTTATTGATATTGTTTCACTTTTTGGATATATATTTTTAAACTATGTAATACATAATATTTTGGTGTTGCCATTTCGACAATTATCTATCGAATTCGCTAAAAAAATGGGAGTTTACATTAAAAGAAAATGTCACTGCCGTCATTACCCAAAAACCAAAAAGTGTAGAATTTTAAAACAAGTTGAAAATTGTGTATAAGGTGTTCTAGCGAGTTGGTAAAGTTCATTATTCAAAGAGATATAAACTTAATTTAATTAGATACCTAAGATGTGGCCCAAAGAAAATTACAATTGATTTCTTTTCAAATTAGTAAAAACTAAGGAAGTATCGAGAGATCAAGATAATTTGTCCTTGTATCCGAAAACGTATGTCCTGTGCGTATGTCTGTAAAACGTCAAATAAAATGACAAGTAAAAAGGTAAAATTCCATGAACAAAAAGATAACTAAATTTATGATTTACCTTCAAAAAAGAACGGTCTTATTATTATACGTCGGCGACTAATTCCAGCCCATTTTGCCGTTTTCGACTTGTCATTTTATTTGACGTTTCACGTGCAGTTAGTTCAAAAACTACCTTTTACTGTCATCTTGACTGACATTTGACAATTATATTTATTTTTATTTGTTGTTAAATTTGTTAATTAAACAGTTTATCTGTCTTAGGAAATTTATTAAAATTTGCTGCCTACCCGTTATTATGCCACAAATCACTATTGTTGAAAGTAAATAAGTCAAAATGACATAAATATGACAAGAGTAAAAAATGAGGTTATTAATATAAAAGTTGTTTTAGAGTTTACATTATAAAAATGACAGTACTTAATTCCGAACTGTACGTTTCGGATCCAAAAATGATCACAAATTATTTTGATCTCTCGGTATATGTATGATTTGTATTAATAAGTGTGATTTGAAAAGCACTCAATGTTTTTATTTAAAATCTTTAGGTCATAAGGTTTTTATATTAAAATTTAAATATCAAAAATTGAAGCTTTTGGTGGCAAGTTTGGGGGGGCCTGGCCCCCTGGGCCCCTCCCCTGGATCCGCCCTTGCCTGGGGGATGCCCCCGAACCGTAATCAGGGATTAATTAGAATGCATGTATGGGTGCCCCAGGTGCTGATTAATCAGACGATACGAGGAAATTGTTGGGTTTTAATGAGATTCTTGGTCATTAAAGTGCAATTAAAGGATTAAACGCAAATAAAAGAGAAAAATGGTAATGAAATGAATAATTCTATACCGAGACGGTGAAACTATAACTGATGACTTTACAACTTATTAATCGTATAATCAATATACAAGGTGACCCAAATATCACAATTAATTTTTGATTTATTGTTAGATGAAACAGGAAACAGAAAAAATTTCAAAAGTTTCAAATAATTTCGAAATTATGGGGATTTAAAGTTTGCAATTCGATCCTATAGGTACATGTTTTCCATTTGGTAATAATTTTTATTTATTTATTTATTGCCAACTATTTATGATTAAACACAAAAAACATATCTATGCAAGATCATCGAAAAAAATTAGTAAAAACAAAAAAAAGATAATGTACGAGTATCATAAATTTCTCTTCAAATTTTTAAACATCCTGTATACAGGTGCGCCAGAACTCGCGCCCCAGAGAAAAATGCCATATAGGGTAATATACCAGGAACATGGAAAAAAAAATAAAAAAATTTTATCCATAAAAATTTCGAAGTTATGAGAGTTTAAAGTTTACACTTTGGCTCTATTTCTGTTAATGTTATTTGTGGCTTTTATTGGCAAAATTTTTGTGCCTTTACTAAATAAATGTAAAAAACATACCTACAAGATTATCAGTATTATTAAATAGACATAAAAAATGTCAAATATCAAAAAAAAATGTCAAAATTTTTTGACAGAATTTTTTAAACATTTTTTCCATGCTCCTGGTATCTTATCTTACTTGAAATTTTTCTCTCGAGCGCGAGTTCTGGCGCACTCTATATAACTTTTTTTTACTATATTAAATTTAGCAACTTATTAATCGTATACTCTGAATATGCAAGTGTCCCAAAAATTACACAACAAATTTATGACGTATTATTACATAAAACAAAAGAAACATAGAAAAAGCTTTAAAAATTCTATCTATAATAATTTTGAAATTATGGAGATTTGAAGTTTGCAATTCGATCTTTTTTTCTTGATATTGCAAAAATTGCAACCACATATTCTACATAGAAAAATTACACTAATAAAAATTAAAAAATATTCAAGAGTAAGAGTAAAACAAAATAATTGTCGAAAATTTTTTTTTAATGGCTCACAAATTTTATGAAAATAATAAGTGATTTTGGAAAAACTAATGGATATTATTTTTTATCATAAAACTTTTCGGATGTACCTCAGCTTTTTAGGACAATTGTTTATTTGACAAAGTAGTGTTTTCTTTATGTAGAATATGATTGCAATTTATTAAAAATTAAAAATCACCCTGTATATGTATTTCGTTTGGTCAAAAATTTTACTTATTTATTTATCGCAAACTATTTATGCTCAACTGTCTTTACTAATAAAACATAAAAAACATAAACATATAAAATTATCGGAAAAAATCAGTATGTCAAGAAAAGTTAAAATTTTATAGATCTAGAATTTTTTTAACGTTTTTCTTATACTCCCTGTGTTTTATAGAATAATGTATTATAAAACTGTTCACAAATTTTTGCACATCCTGTACATACTCAAGGACAATGATCTCATAAGCTACTTAACAGTTTTATTTTACTTAAATAAACAAAGAATGACGTAATTTCCGTGTTTGAAATTTTTATTCAAGGAAATAATTGTTGGGTCATCCTATGCAATATACAGGGTGTTTTCTTAATATTGCGAAAAAGTGCAACCACATATTCTACATCGAAAAATAACGCTAATTTGTCAAATAAACAATATTCCTATAAAGCTTCGTTACGGATATACAGGGTGATAAAGTTTCATAATAAAAGAAAAGTTTCTTGGAAACCATTTGAGTTATTTTCTTAAAATTTTACGGGTTTTGTAGGCTACTGAAAGGGCTTATTTATGTTATTTTTTAGGTAAAATATGTGGTTGCAGTTTTACACAAAATTAAGAAAAAACTCTGTATTTCTCACAAGATTATTTAGTTGCTTGAGTCATTGGATTGATTGAAAAACTTTTTGAAGGTCTTGTTACCTAACATCAATTTTACAGGTGTCCCAATAAATTCTATAAAATCAAAAAAAATTTTTTCCATAAAAAACCTTTGGTGTTTATAAAAATAATTTATGTACAATAGTCACACTTTATTATATTGCCATACTTTTTTTAAAACACATTTTAGACATTAAAATCCATAATAAAAATACGAAAAATTAAATTTTTTAACTAATATAAAATACAAACAATTTGTTTATTTTTTTCTTATTTTTATTTTTTTAACTTTTTCCTCAAATTTTTGTACTGCCTGTATCTGTAGTCACACTCAGTGACTTTATTTTTTCAAATTTGCTTGAATTAAAAACTCCTTGAAAGTTTTGTTATCTAACATTTCTTTTTACAGGGTGTCCCATCGTGCAGGGAAGAAACTTATAGTTACTACACGCCCAACTGCACTCCCTGTAAAATGCCAAAAACATTGTATATTATCTCAACCAAGCGACTTGTAGTGTAGATTAGTGGTAGAAACCTTTATCAATCATAACAAAAGTATTATTTATGTAATTTAAGTTAACGCTCAAAATATATCTGTTAGAAATAAATATTTATTTACTTGTAACAGTTAAGTAATAAAATTTTGACAATACCAAAGTGCAATCTAATTATTAATCAATGAAACCAAATTCTTTTGCGAATGCAATGCATTTTCGTTAGCAATTATTGCATAACCGCTTGACCACATCATCGAAGTTAGTTCGAAATCATGACTCGGACAAGATAAGAAATAAATGCGATAACTGAAGAACTCATTTGAGAACATTTCGTTTAATTGACTTCTCACGAAATGTTGCTTTTTTTCCCCGTTTTGTGGCTCCTGTTTTCGCAAAGTTTGCAAGAAAGTGAGTACCAAAATTTTACCTCCTGTTTTGATCCACTTTTTCAGAGTATATTGTAAATAACGAAAAATGCAAAATCCCAGATTTGGAAATTTTTAACGAAGACGTCGCAAATATAACCCACCCAAAGCCTTACAGACCTTGCAACCAAACCGAACTTTTGAGTTATGTGACCAAAAACGGCCCCAATTTTGAGTTACACATAAGAGAGGATTTAATCCCTCAATACACCACTCAAAATATGACTTGTTGCTACTCTTATGTGACGAGGAATGGGTCAATTGACCTCCCGGATGTTGGTATCAGGTAGGGAATACGATTTTTGCCCCCCCCCCCTCCACTCCTCAAAAATTTTTTTTCTAGTATCTCGCCTTGTGTCCCCTTTTATAAAAAAGTAGTTTTGGGGCAAAATATCGTCAAAGTTGTTTGTAACGACTCTAAGCTTGTTGTTTACCAGAACGTTCACGTGACAATCCAGCCTCAAAAACCCCTCAAAAACGACTCAAACCCGTTCAGCGTTTTATTGGTAGTAGTTGACAGCATTTCCCGGCTGAATTTTCACCGAACCATGCCTCAAACCTCAAATTTCCTCACGGAGAGGCATTTCATCGAAATGAAAGCTTACTCAAAAGTGGACGATAACACATTCCCCAATTGTATGGCCCTCCTCACTGGTTTTAATTTAAAACAGGCTTACAAACACTGCAACCCATCAAAAATCAACGCCTTGGATGTTTGTCCCATGCTTTGGTACGATTTCCACGAAAATGGGTACACCACGGCGTACGCCGAAGACGACACACCCATTGGCACATTCAACTACTTGAAAAAAGGGTTCACACACCCACCCACCGACTTCTATTTCAAGCCCTACATGGAAGCCAGCGAAGCCCTCGGGATCCAATACGTTGATCATATGCCCTTTTGTACAGGCCTCGAGAGTGCCGGTGAGAGGATTTTGAACGTGGCCAGGGATTTTGCCACCACGTTCAAACACAATCCCAGTTTTGGGATTTTCTGGATGAACACGTTCAGTCATAATGAATTCAACGCGCCCTATTCCATGGACGCGAAACTGAAAGGGTTTTTCCGGGATTTGGACGAGGCTGGGGTTTTGGACGAAAGCTTCGTTATTTTACTCAGTGACCACGGGATTAGATTTGGGCCGGTTATGGAAACCCACAGTGGGTGGTTAGAGGAGCGAATGCCCATAAATATGATCTCAGTCCCAAAAAAATTCAAACGAGAGTTTGGACGCGAGTACAAAAATTTGAAACAAAACTCGGAGAAATTGACAAACACCTATGACATGTTCATGACTTTGCAACACATTTTAGCATTGAAGGGAGTCCAATATAAGGTCAGGCAAAGTGAGGGGTGTCCCAATTGTGGTTCACTTTTTGACCCAATTCCGGAGAGATCGTGCGAGGAAGCGTCCATACCCTATCAATTTTGTCCATGTTTTGGACGTTTCAAAACACTCAATTTGTCGCAAGTCCAAACTGGACGTGCCAAATCACTCAATTCACCGGAAGTCCAAACTGGACGTGTCAAATCGGTCAATTCGTCGGAAGTCCAAAATGCGGTTGAGTACATAATTTTTCGGGCAAAAAAAGAGGTTTTGCAACGATGTGGTAATGACACTTTTAACTTTCAGTTAGGCTCAGTGAGTGTTTCAGAACCGGATCATGAAAAAAATCAACTTCTTTTCATGGTTTTTTTTATTGAAAACACCACAGGATTGGCAACTGTTAAATTCAGAGATGTTGTGACTGAAAAGTCGCTATTTAATTTCAGATTTTTCAATTTGTACTCAGTTTGTGACGTTAAGTTTGCACTTGATTAATTTATAGTTTTATTATAAAAAGTACTTTTTTAAAAATAAATTTTTATCTTGTGTTACAATGATCTCACGAGCTACTTAACATTTTTTATTTTACTTAAATAAACAAAGAATGACGTAATTTCCGTGTTTGAAATTTTTAATCAAGGAAATAATTGTTGGGTTATCCTATGCAATATACAGGGTGTTTTCTTAATATTGCGAAAAAGTGCAACCACATATTCTACATCGAAAAATAACACTAATTTGTCAAATAAACAATATTCCTATAAAGCTTCGTTACGGATATACAGATTGATAAAATTTCATGATAAAAGAAAAGTTTCTTGGAAACCATTTGAGTTATTTTCTTAAAATTTTACGGGTTTTGTAGGCCACTGAAAGCGCTTATTTATGTTATTTTTTTAGGTAAAATATGTGATTGCAGTTTTACACAAAATAAAGAAAAAACTCTGTATTTCTCACTAGATTATTTAGTTGCTTGAGTCATTGGATTGATTGAAAAACTTTTTGAAGGTCTTGTTACCTAACATCAATTTTACAGGTGTCCCAATAAATTCTATGAAATCAAAAATTTTTTTTCCATAAAAAACCTTTGGTTTTTATAAAAATAATAAATTATGTACAATAGTCACACTTTATTATATTGCCATACTTAGATTTTTTTTTAAACATTTTAGACTTTAAAGTCCATAATAAAAAATACGAAAAATTACAACTGTTAACTAATATAAAATACACTTTTAACTTTCAGTTAGGCTCAGTGAGTGTTTCAGAACCGCATCGTGAAAAAAATCAACTTCTTTTCATGTTTTTTTTTTTATTGAAAACACCACAGGGTTGGCAACTGTTAAATTCAGGGATGTTATCACTGAAAAGTCGCTATTTTATTTCAGGTTTTTCAATTTGTACTCAGTTTGTGACGTTAAGTTTGTACTTGATTACTTTATTGTTTTATTATAAAAATAAATTTTTATCCTGTGTTACAACCGTCTGTTCTGCAATACTTAATCGATTCGTAACCCCCATATTTCCTCACTAATTCATCAAACTGGGTAAAGGTTATGATATGATTTGTTTCGAAAGGGGCACAGCCTTTATATACCACTCCATCTACGAGTCCAAATCAATTAATTAATCAATTAATTAATCGTAAATTACTTCGAAATTTCAGAATGTAGCAATACTCAGTGCATTCGTCGTAAGTGGTTTGTTGAGGGCAAAAACCATAGCATCTTATACACCGAAAACCTGAAATCCCTGAAATTTGTTAACAATTATTAAAACCTGACTCACCTTCAGACGAGTACACGATTAGCGCAAATCCGAGAAGTACTAAAGTCGCTTTCATTTTAACTAAACTTAACGGCGAAAAAATGCTTGCTTTTGTGACTTTGAATTGAATTGTTCAGATTTTAATAGTTAGCGGTAACAATAAATTTGCATGCATTTATGACCCATAAAATGTGTTTTTCTCGCTGTGAATTCTGTGTCAATTCTATTAGTTTTATTGGAGTTTTGTTCTATTTCAAAATCTCTAGAATTTATTTCAAAAATTTCTCTTAAGAGTTTGCCACTGTGACATTTAATCTTATCTAATCTCCAACAAACCCTTTCAAACTCTTTGCTTTGTGCAGGTGCTGCGAAGTGTCGTAATTATTTAAATCTCGCAATAAACGTGAGTTGTGAGCTCGAGCATAAAAATAAATTGCAGTGTTTTTCATTTTTATTCGGTTTTATTATTGTGATGTCAGATCATTGTTTATCATTAAGTTGATGCAAATTTCGCCAAGGTAAGACAAACTTTTCCTATTATTTTGTTTTCCTATTAGTGGCAAACAACAGTATTTCTGAAGCCTTGAAAAAGTGTGATAAAAAATCAGTGTTGCAATTAGTGTAACTAATCTAGTTCATAGAAACATCTAAAACAAACATTGAAAAGTGCGATAAAAATCTGTGTAATTAATTTCTCTGATCCAGTTGATAGTAAAATCTAAAACAAACATTGCAGATTACTTTCATGTAATTTTTTCGCAACTTTAATGATTTCAATTAGTGCAAGTGGGGCAGCGAGAGTGAATTGCACGTAAGTACAAACAAAATTTAGTAGTCAAACGTCAAAAACAGATGTTTACCGTGAAAAAAATATTTGTGCTGGTGTGCCTTTTAGGCCTTTTAAATTTGTTTCTAATTTACAAAAGTTGGTTCGATTTTGGCGAAACTGAGTACGAAACCAAATTCCCCTCATGGTTTCCAGAAAGACGCTATTTGATCGAAACAGAAAAATGCAAAATTTTGGACTTTCAACCCTTGGAAGACCACAAACGGGTGAAACCCAAATCTTGTGGCCCTTCCGACCTTTTGACTTATGTCACGGTCGATAATAACACGGCCACTCTTCATATCAATGAGAAACTTGCCAAAAAATACCGCAATTTTGACTGTTTCTACCGGGATATTGGAAATTTTGATGTTCCACTCAAGTAGCTGAACAAAATTGTGATTTTTTGAAATTTTTTAACTCGTTTTAGACTTCCTGCGTTTACGCCGTTCAAAAGTCGGGTCAAAATTGATTTCGACTACGTTTTTGTCAAGTGTTTGAGGAGGAAAAGGGTTTTTTACTCAAACACACATGCGCCAATAATCTTGAAAGAAGACATAATCAAAAGACAAAAATTGATGAAAAACCCAAGTGAGGCTTTCAGTGTGTTAATTATAGGAATTGATAACATGTCACGCTTGAATTTCCTTCAATTCCTCCCAGAAACTCGGTTACTTCTCAAGGAAAACAATTGGATTTCCTTGAAGGGTTACAATAAGGTTGCTGGTGACACCCATCCTAACCTTATGGCCCTTTTGGCCGGCTTAGATAACCCCAAAGTGGAGGAAAAATGTCGCAGAAGCCTAATTAGTTGCCCTTTGGTTTTGTTCGACTACCAAAACCACGGTTATGCCACGGCTTATGCCAGAGACGAACCCAGGATGGACAACTACCCTAACCCTCCCATTGATTACCATTTCTGGCCCTATTTCCGCGTCAACGAAAAGCTTAAAACCCGGAAAATCGACAATTTCTGCACGGGCCCGGAAAGTAGCAGTGAACGAGTCCTAAACTTGGCCAAAAATTTTGCCAAAACCCTCCAAAACCGTCCCAGTTTTGGTGTATTCTGGATGAACGGTTTTACTAAAAATAATCTCAATTTGGACTCGAAAATCCGAGATTTTTTCGTAAATATTAGCCATTCCGGGATTTTGAAAAACACCTTCGTGTTTTTTTTGAGTGACTACGGGTTCCATGTGGGCCCTTTTCGCCACACTCACATGAGTTGGCTCGAGGAGAGACTACCGTTTAACTATATTTGGGTTCCGGTGAAATTCCGGATCAAGTTTCGTCGACAATATCACAATCTTGAATTTAACATAGATCAATTGACTTCGCCATATCATCTCTATATGACCCTTCAGGACATTCTAGTCTTGTCAAAACAAGGTTATGAGATAAAACCGAGTCAAGGGTGTTCCAAGTGTCAATCTTTGTTTGAAAATTTTGAAGATAGATCTTGTCAAGATGCAGGAATTGAAGCAAAGTGGTGCACTTGTAATACTTATACGGCAATTCCAAGAGAGGCAAATCTTGTGGTAATTGCCTCAGAGTACGTCCTACGATACATCCATACCATTATTTTTGACCATAATGGTGAGAAAAACTGTTTGAGATACACAATAGCAAAAATCATCTCAGCGGGGATTTCAGATGACCACAGACACATTTTATTGATTTTGGAAACTAATCCAAAAGCTGTTTTTGAAACCACTGTGTTGTATCAGCCGGGAAGTAAGCAAACTTTTAGTGTCAAGGGCGAAATTAGTAGACTTGACAGATACGCCAAGCACAGTTACTGTACCAGCAATCGTTTGTTAAGAAAACTATGTTATTGTCGTTGATGTTTTTTTTGTCATTGTCAAATGTCAAAAATATAACATGTTTAGCCTGTTTTCAATGTCAAAAATTTGTGTTCTAGTCTTGCTTTTGAGTATTTCAGTCTTATATTTGCTTTACTTTAGTCGCTCCAGCTTTGTGGATTTTAACCAAAAAAACAAAAGTAAGGGCAAAAGACATTTGGTCAAACTCCATCCTCAAATTCCAGTAAAACGCTATTTGATTGAAACTCAAAAATGCAAAATTTTGGACTTTCCTACTTCCATCCTCAAGTCTTGCCATTTTGTTAAGAAAACTTTGTTATTGTCGTTAATGTTTTTTTTGTCATTGTCAAATGTCAAAAATATAACATGTTTAGTCTGTTTTCAACGTCAAAAATTTGTGATCTAGTCTTCCTTTTGAGTATTTCAGTCTTATATTTGCTTTACTATAGTCGCTCCAGTTTTGTGGATTTTACCCAAAAAAACGAGAGTAAGAGCAAAACACATTTGGTCAAACTCCATCCTCAAATTCCAGTAAAACGCTATTTGATTGAAACTCAAAAATGCAAAATTTTGGACATTCCTCCTTTCCACCCTCAAGTCTTGCCATTCTACGAGAGGGAGGAGTACAATTCTTGTGGCCCCTCTGAAGTTTTAACATCTGTCACGGTTGAAAATAACACAGCCCTTCTTCACATAAATAGAAAATTTCTCAAACAGTACCCCAAAATTTTAAATTGTCTTTACCGGAAAATCAATCAAATGAAACTCAAATTCAAATTTGAAGATTTTCTCAAGTAATCAAAATTCTATTATTACAAAGTTTCGAGCCTTGTTTTAGCGAGCCTGTGTTTACATCTTTTGAAAATAGTGCCAAAATAAAGTGTTTTACTCAAACACACATGCACCAATAGTCTTATTGTCGTTGATGTCAAAATAGTTGTCAAATGTCAAAAAATTGTGTGCTGGTCTTGCTTTTAGGCATTGTAGCCCTAAATTTGCTCTATTTAAGTCGGTTAAGTTTCACCGATTTTGCCCAAAAAATCAAGAGTAAGTGGAAATCACCCTTGATAAAATTTCACCCCCAAATTCCAGTAAAACGCTATTTGGTTGAAACTCCAAAATGCAAAATTTTGGACGTTCCCCCTTTTTACCCTCAAGTCTGGAAATTCTACCACCGGGAAGAATACAAACCATGTGGCCCTTCTGACCTTTTGACTTATGTCACGGTTAATAATAATACAGCTACCCTTCATGTCAATGAAGAAGTTGTCAAGAAATACCACAAAAAAATTGTGTGTTTTTACCAGAACATTGAAGATTTTGATTTTAGATTCCCACCTGAGGATCACCTCAAGTACCTAATCAAAATTTTAATTTTCGGAAAATTTTAATTTTTGTTTTAGTCAACCCGGGTTTACACTTTTTGAAACTAGTGTTGAAATTGATTTCGATTTTGTTTCGGTAATTTGTTTGATGGAAAATAAAGTGTTTTACTCAAACACACATGCACCAATAATCTTGCAAGAAAACATAATTGAAAGACAAGAATTTATGAAACACCAAAATGAAGCTTTCAGTGTTTTAATCATCGGTATTGATAGCATGTCACGTCTGAATTTTCTCCGTTCTCTCCCTGAAACTCACTTATTTCTCAAGAGAAACAATTGGATTTCCTTGAAGGGTTACAATAAGGTTGCTGATAACACCCACCCTAACCTTATGGCCCTTTTGACCGGCTTAGACGAATACGAGTCGGAGAAAAAATGTGGTGAAAACCTAACCAACTGTCCTTTGCTTTTATCCGAGTACCACAACCTAGGCTACGCTACGGCTTACGCCGAAGATGAACCTTGGTTGGGCAATTTTATTCGAAATCATGACCACCCCCTCATCGACTACTACTTCTGGCCCTATTTCAGGATTAATCAAAAATTAACAACGCGAAAAATCGACGGGATGAATTTCTGCACAGGACCCGAAAATACCGGTGAACGAGTTCTAAACTTGGCCAAAAATTTCGCCAAAATTCTCCAAAACCGGCCCAGTTTTGGTGTTTTCTGGATGAACAGTTTTAGCCACAGTAATCTCAACTTGGCCTCCAGTATGGACACAAAAATTCGGGATTTTTTCGCAAATATTAGCGATTCTGGAAGCTTGGAAAAGACCTTTGTGTTTTTTTTGAGTGATCACGGATTGCGTACTGGCCCTTTTCGTCAAACTCCTTTGGGTTGGTTTGAGGAAAGACTACCGTTTTGCTATATTTTGGTTCCGGTGAAATTTCGGGACAAGTTTCGTCGACAATATCACAATCTTCAGCTTAACATTAATCAGTTGACTTCGCCATATCATCTCTATGTGACCCTCCAAGACATTCTAGTCTTGTCAAAACAGAATTATAAGATTAAGTCGAGTCAAGGGTGCTCGAAATGTCAATCTTTGTTTGACAGTTTTGAAGATAGATCTTGTCAAGATGCAGGGATTGATCCTCATTGGTGCACGTGTCATACTTACCCGTCGATTATAAAACAGTCAATTCTTGCCCAAAATGCTTCAAAATATGTCCTACGATACATCCATACCAAAATTTTGCACCAAAACGGTGCCAGAAAATGTTTGAAATATCGAAGAGCCAAAATCATCTCAACGAGAATTTCAGACGATCATAAATACATTTTATTGATTTTTGAAACTAGTCCGAAAGCTGTTTTTGAAGCCACTGTGTTGTATCAGCCGGGAAGTAAGCAAACTTTTAGTGTCAAGGGCGAAATTAGTAGACTTGACAGATACGCCAAGCACAGTTACTGTACCAGCAATCGTTTGTTAAGAAAACTTTGTTATTGTCGTTGATGTTTTTTTTTTCATTGTCAAATGTCAAAAATATAACATGTTTAGCCTGTTTTCAACGTCAAAAATTTGTGTTCTAGTCTTCCTTTTGAGTATTTCAGTCTTATATTTGCTTTACTTTAGTCGCTCCAGTTTTGTGGATTTTACCCAAAAAACGAAAGTAAGGGCAAAACACATTTGGTCAAACTCCATCCCCAAATTCCAGTAAAACGCCATTTGATTGAAACTCAAAAATCCAAAATTTTGGACTTTCCTGCTTTCCATCCTCAAGTCTTGCCATTTTGTTAAGAAAACTTCGTTATTGTCGTTGATGTTTTTTTTTTCATTGTCAAATGTCATAAATATAACATGTTTAGCCTGTTTTCAACGTCAAAAATTTGTGTTCTAGTCTTCCTTTTGAGTATTTCAGTCTTATATTTGCTTTACTATAGTCGCTCCAGTTTTGTGGATTTTACCCAAAAAAACGAGAGTAAGAGAAAAACACATTTGGTCAAACTCCATCCTCAAATTCCAGTAAAACGCTATTTGATTGAAACTCAAAAATGCAAAATTTTGGACTTTCCTGCTTTCCACCCTCAAGTCTTGCCATTCTACGAGAGGGAGTTGTACAATCCTTGTGGCCCCTCTGAAGTTTTAACATCTGTCACGGTTGAAAATAACACAGCCCTTCTTCACATAAATAGAAAAGTTCTCAAATGGCACCCCAAAATTTTGAATTGTCTTTACCGGAAAATCAACCAAATGAAACTCAAATTCAAATTTGAAGATTTTCTCAAGTAATCAAAATTCTATTATTACAAAGTTTCAAGCCTTGTTTTAGCGAACCTGTGTTTACATCTTTTGAAAATAGTGTCAAAATTGATTCCGATTATGTTTTCGTAATGTGTTTGAAGGGAAATAAAGTGTTTTACTCAAACACACATGCACCAATAGTCTTGAAAGAAAACATAATCAAAAGACAAAAACTGATGAAAAATAAAGCTGAAGCTTTCAGTGTTTTAATCATTGGAATTGATAGTATGTCACGCTTGAATTTCCTTCGATCTCTCCCTGAAACTCACTTATTTCTCAAGGAAAACAACTGGATTTCCTTGAAGGGTTACAACAAGGTTGCTGACAATACCTATCCCAACCTTATGGCCCTTTTGGCCGGCTTAGATGAGCCCAAAGCGGACGAAAAATGCAGTAGCAGAAGCCTAATTAGTTGCCCTTTGGTTTTGTTCGACTACCAAAACCAGGGTTATGCCACGGCTTATGCCGAAGACGAACCCTGGATGGGTAACTTCATTCTAAATCAAAGAAGTTATGATAACCCTCCCACCGACTACTACTTCCGGCCCTATTTCCGGGTCAACGAAAAGCTAACAACCCGGAAAATCGACGGTGTGAATTTCTGCACAGGCCCGGAAAGCAGCGGTGAACGAGTCCTAAACTTGGCCAAAAATTTCGCCAAAACTCTCCAAAACCGTCCCAGTTTTGGTGTATTCTGGGCAAACGGTTTTAACCACAATCTCCTCAACCTTGCTTCAAGTATGGACTCAAAAATCCGGGATTTTTTCAAAAATATTACCGATTCCGGGATTTTGGGAAACACCTTCGTGTTTTTTTTGAGTGACCATGGGTTGCGTGTAGGCCCATTTCGTCAAACTCCCATGGGATGGCTTGAGGAAAGACTACCGTTTAGCTATATTTGGGTTCCGGTGAAATTCCGGAACAAGTTTCGTCGACAATATCACAATCTTCAGCTTAACATAAATCAGTTGACTTCGCCATATCATCTCTATATGACCCTCCAAGACATTCTAGTCTTGTCAAAACAGAATTTTAAGATTAAGTCGAGTCAAGGGTGCTCGAAATGTCAATCTTTGTTTGACAGTTTTGAAGATAGATCTTGTCAAGATGCAGGGATTGATCCTCATTGGTGCACGTGTAATACTTATCCGTCAATTATGAATCAGTCAAGTCTTGCCCAAAATGCTTCAAAATATGTCCTACAATACATCCATACCAAAATTTTGGACCAAAACGGTGCCAAAAAGTGTTTGAAATATACTTTAGCGAAAATCATCTCAGCGAGGGTTTCACATGATCGCAAATACATTTTATTGATTTTGGAAACTAGTCCAGAAGCTGTTTTTGAAGTCACAGTGTTGCATAAACCGGGAAGTAAGCAAACTTTTAGTGTCAAGGGCGGAATTAGTAGACTTGACAGATACGCCAAGCACAGTTACTGTACCACCAATCGTTTGTTAAGAAAACTTTGTTATTGTCGTTGAGGGTTTCAAAAATTTTGAAAAAACGGATTTCCGTTTGTCAAGGGAAATGTCAATGTCGGTGATTTGAAAAAACATCTGACTTGTGGAAATTTTCCTCATTTCCTAGCCCATAAACCATTTTATTAACAAGTTTAATGAGTAATTAGGTTTGATATCGCAAAAATTGCATACGTGATTCAATTTTTTGTTATGAGTTGGCACAATACATGTTTTTAATTTAGTCTCATTCTAATTGTTTTCGTGTTTGTGTGATTTAATTAAAAAAATGCAAAAAATATTTTTTGCTATTTTGATTTTCGCGCTTCTCCTCTTTTATATTTTTTACACGTCCAGTTCGACCAAAATCGGGTCAAAACCACCATTTTCTCTCCACAGTAAGTCACCAAAAATTCAAGACAAAAAATTGAAAAAATTTTCAGGTCGGTATTTGGTGCATAGTCAGAAATGCAAAATCCCCAGTATTGACCCCTTTGACAACCAAGTCAAAGACCACTTTTTGGTGGAAAAGTACCAACCTTGTGGCCCTTCAGAACTCCCCACTTTTGTCACAATTGACGACAATGTTGCCACGCTTCACATCAATCCGAAATTCGTCGAGGAGTACCCGGACCTGGCTTGCTACCACCGGAAAATTGGGCGGCCAAAAGTCCGGAAAAATCCGGATAATTTCATAACGTAAAATCCAGTTCCGGAAATGTGGGTACTGAAGGAGTTTTTTCAGGTTGGGTGAATTTCAGCCGTTTCAGCGGAACGTCCAACTTGATTTTGATTTCGTTTCTGTGCTTTGTAAAAGTGCCAATAGGACGATTTACACAAACACACATGCGGCCCTAACCGTCAAAAAAACCATCATTGAGAAACAAGATGTGATGAAAAACCGAAATGAAGCCTTTAGTGTCTTAATCGTAGGAATTGACAGCATTTCCCGTTTGAATTTTATACGAATTTTACGAAAATCGTACTTGTTTCTGTGGAAAAACAACTGGATTACCCTTAAGGGCTACAACAAGATCGACGACAACACATACCCCAACATTATGGCCCTTTTGAGCGGCTTGAATGAGAAAAACGCGCAGGAAAAATGCCCTTCGACCAAATTCCGAGGTTTGGATCGTTGCCCTTTGATTTGGTACGACTTCAGAAACTCGGGCTATGCCACAGCCTATGCCGAGGATGAAACCCGAATGAGCACTTTCAACTTGAACAAGAAGGGCTTCAGTAGCCCCCCCACCGACTACTACTTCCGGCCCTACCTCCAAAGCGCTGAAAAACTGAAAATCCGGACCTTCTACGGGCTGAAATTCTGCACAGGGCCTGAAAACACCGGCGAAAGAGTCCTCAATTTGGCCAAGAATTTTAGCAAAATCCTGAAAAACAGGCCCAATTTTGGGTTTTTCTGGATGAACAGTTTCAGTCACAATGACCTCAACTCGGCTTCAGCTATGGACGAGAAAATCTCGCAGTTTTTGCAAGATGTGAGCAATTCAGGAGTTTTGCAAAACTCGTTCATGGTCTTTTTGAGCGACCATGGGACGCGATGGGGGGATTTCCGTGAAACTCCAATGGGGTGGTATGAAGAGAGACTACCGTTTATCTACTTATGGGTGCCTGAAAATTTCAAAAAACGGTTTCCTCAAGAATTTAGAAACCTAAAACTCAATGTTAACAAGTTGACAACCACGTATGATGTTTATATGACTTTGCAACATATTCTGGTACTTTCTGGGCAAAATTATACCATGAAGCCCAGTCAAGGGTGTCCCAAATGTCGATCATTGTTTGACCAAATTCAGAAAGAGAGGTCTTGTGAGGACGCTGGGATTGAGCCCCATTGGTGCACTTGTATCAATTATTCGCCCATAAATCAAACAAATTTGGTCGAAAGTGCCTCTAGTTACGTCCTCCAATACATAAACGGGGTCATTACGGCCAAAAACGCCGCCAAAATGTGTCGCACTTATACTTTAGGAAAAATTATCTCTGCGAGAATTTCAGATGATCAGAAATTCCTTTTATTGGTCTTGGAGACTACTCCAAAAGCCATTTTTGAAGTCACAGTGTGGCATAGACCGGGAAGTAAACCGGCTTTTAGTGTCAAGGGCGGAATTAGCCGAATTGACAGATACCGTGACCACAGCATATGCATGCGTGACGATTGGTTAAAAAAACTTTGTTATTGTCGATAATAAAATTAAGCTAAATTTAGATGTGTCATTGATCCCAAATTCTTATCGTTGTGATAAAATCAAATTACGGATTCTAAATATACACAAATCTGAATCATGCAATTTTCCGGGTCACGTAAACTCTAGAGAAAAAATTTCGTTTATTTTAAAAAAAGAAATTTTTCTTTCTAAATTTCTTAAAAACAATCTTTTATTTGCACTTCAAATATCAAAATTTGGGCTATTTCTTACTATTTCGTCACAAAAAACGGATTTTCGTATAAAATTAAGAGGTTT